TTTTTTTTTTCTAATATTTTTTTTGTGTTAAACATCAGAATAAGCTTTACTTTGCTTCGTTTAATTTCTTTGCATACAAGTCGAAAAAATTTTGTTTTTTTTTAGTATATCTTTCGAAATTGTCAAGAAAATATCTGGAATGCCTCACGATGTGAATGTATATGAAACATCATCTAGCAGTCAATCCGAAAGATCAATTAACAATTCAAGTAATAATTTATTTGAAGTTCTATTGAATTTTTTAGTTTAAAAACATTTCCTTTTATTAGATGGTAATGAGTCTTTCGAAAATCAAAATGGTTCAAAATTAACTATACAAGTTTTCAATCGTTTTCATATTCAAATAGAATTAGTACATATTGAAGATTTTCCTAATGAATCACCGAAACGATATGACAAAATTTGTTCACAATGGAATAGTGAAGAATTTAAGGATTGTAAGTAAAATATTTTGTCTCAAATTTACAGCAAATAGTAAAGATTATTATCGTAGTTTCCGACAGAAACAAAAATTATCTCATTGATTATTATAAAAAATTTTAATTTTATGAATAATTGGAGTATCAGATAGTTCTTAGCGATGTGTATTTTTATAAAAGCATAGAACTCAGGAGGATGATCTACTGTTGTATAAGACGTCATAGTGCTGAGCACTTCTTTTTAATCAAAATATAGACCATCTAGAACTAAAAATTGTATCATTTATTCATAGAAAATAAGATTTTTTGTGATGATGATTGAAATAAATTTACGTTCGATTAGAAAAGTAACCAAACTTTTGAACCAAATCGAAACTTCAGCCGTCAAACAATAACAATAGTTCATTTTAGGTATTTCAATTTCAAGCAGTGTTGAACAAACGTCTATTCTAGAAAGTCAACGAGCAGGTATGATTATGTATTTGTTGTTTTTTTGTTCTGCAACAGAAAACTATCCTTACTGAAGATATTTAGTTAAACGGAGAAGTTCTTTTATATTCATATTATTTTATATTTTTAGTTCCACATTTTGTACAGACACAAACAAACCCACTTCATGATGGACCTTGCAATTATGCTCTTGGGTATATAATAATTCATATTATTATTAATAAATATATAAATTCTTTTTGTTTTCCTATTAGATTGCCAGTCATCAGAGCATCAACAACAAATGAAAATAATGATTAAATTTTTTAAACATTAAATGACTAAAAATGATTAAAATTTCTATTTTTATTCTACATTACGCGAACAAATGAATATTTTCATCTTTTTTTTGTGAACAATTTGCATTTCTTTTCTGCAATAAAAAAATCGCTACTTGTTTTTTGCTTTAGTATTAACATAGTTCAAATTTTATTTGGATAGTTATAGTGATTTGATTGTCTTGAAATTAGTCTGAACTTTGTTTTATGATGAAGAATATTTCTAAAGTGAAATTACTTCTAGTAGAACTTCTGTCAGATACAATTCGATTACTTCAGTCTCAAATACGAAAAAAAAAAACTAACAATGTTTGATATGATTAACAGAAAAGTGATAGATTCATAATCGAAGTAAAACGTTTTATAGATTTATTTTATGAGAAATTAGAAAGTTTGTGTATGATCCAGCGACAATACAAAGATTATATGTTTCATTAAAACTATCAGGTCATAACAGTTCAAAAACAGTCATTTATTATAGTCTACTAGTTAATTAGGTTTAGACAGAATTCAATGTATTCTGATAAATAGTATTTAATTAAAAAAATAAGTGTATATATATATAGACTGATAAGAAGATATCTTATACAATGATCAATTATTCATAGATAGTAACTGAAAGTTTCTAAGTTATAATTATTTAAATCTCATTGTCTTTTCTTCACTGCATGTTATTGGAAAAATTGATCTTCTTCTAAAAAAATATTTCCTTTTCTCATTATATCTCTTCGACCGTATTATATTAAATAGATTCAGTTATTTGGATGTCTATTGAATGCAATATGTTATACTATCTTTCATCAGTAGCTGAATTAATTTTTTTTCCAATGCTTCTGAAAGAAACAAATCGACTTGAAGGCCATGTCATATGAATCATCTATTAAAAAAAATAAGAATAATGTATTTATTTCACTACATATCTATGAGTAATAAAACAACTCTTCTCATGAAATACTGCCATCTGTTGATGAAGAACGTAACATTTTAAAAATTTCAATATTTAAGAACAATGAATAACAAGTAATGCTTGTCGCTACGACTCGCGTCACCATCGACTAAATTCATTCTATTCACTTTGACAAATATTATCAGATAAATCGTCAGTTTATGTGATGCTATAGTCAACACCATACAAACAAGTCTTTCAACTTTTGCAATTTAGAAAAAGCAACACTGGTAATGTCAAGTTTGGAATATGTAGTAGTCGCGCGATATCCTCATCATAGATTACATTTCTTTGGCTTTTATGAGAAATTGGTATGATTTTGAATTAGTCGTCTTCATCACAACATTTCATTCAAAGCTTTACTCAAGAAAAGACGTGTCTACCTCGTAAATGAATGGCGAGTCGCTCATCAGCGTCTCTCAAGGGTGCCAATTGTAACTCACTAATCCCAGATTCTATCTACTTAGTCGAGCTCTTCTGAAAACTATTGTCCAATCTCTAGAAAGCTTCGCGAAAGAAAGGCTCATATCAATCGTAGAAACAAACGGCGAATCATTTGTCGGCGCCATTCATGACCTGCCAGCTCTATATCCTATCTTCTTTCCCAACTAATCGTTAAGTTGTGTTATGATTCAATTAAATTGGTTTCCTCTTAACAAATGAATCCATCTATCTGATCGAAAATGAACTTCTTTTTTATTTTCCAAACGATCACTGCATATGGACCATCGATCTGTATAAAACTCAAGAGGATGAAAGATGCTTTTCGAACAAGATTGCCTATCACACTTTTTTCACTATAAAATCATCACATTTTCGATTAATCCGCGATCTCTTTTACGAAGTGGATTCTCAAGGGTATTTAAATATTTTATAGTGAAAAAAGTGTTCTTAAGGTACATTTTGGCATCATTTGAGTTCAGATTATTGTGAAAATTGAAGAAAATTATACCTAGAAAAAAACTTAATCGATAATTCTCGTTGAACAAACATCCTTCGTCCTAATGAATTTTATACAGATCGATGGCCCAAGTATTGCTCTTTCGAATGAGGAAAATTGCAGCGCTCTATCTTGTTCCTATTAGAAGTTATTTGAAAAAATGGCAAACTGCCTTTTATTTTGGATCGAATAATACATGAGAATGGGTGAATCATCAATCGTATAAATAGAAACATTTTAGTGAAGCAACGTATATATAATATCATAGTTAGTGTTCAGAAGACCTTTGCATACGAATAGATAACACTCAAAAACAACATAGGAAAGAGAAAATAATCACAAAGAGACAAAAAAACCTGATACAATCTCTTTGAATGTCGCTATTTCTTTGCTTTCTTCTCCTGAAAACATAAAAGCAAGGAAAATTTTCAACCAAAAACAAATGATAAATCAAATTGTCAGTTAGTTCGATATATTTTTCATTGGAATAATAGAATTGGGTGCGGGGTGTGGGTATGGGATGAAAATCTCTTAATTCACATTCACATCCACCCACCCACATCCACACCCCACACCCTAGTCTAATAAACACCTATGAAAGACTATCTATAGATACGAATTTTTTAGACGAAACAAATCTTCAAATATACCAAGTCACAACAGATATTGATAAATAAATATATTTTTTGAAATTTTAGTTCACGATGTTTGTTCACTTTCTTTTACAATTAATGTATAAGTGACATGATAAGAAAATTTATGAGAATCTTCATTTGAATATTTTTTATTGAATCAATATTAGAATTTAAGAGTATAGATAACAAATTCTAAAATGATTATTAACATTTTAACGTTGTTCGACCTTGTAAAAAAGCTCAGATGACATTATTTAATCAAAATAGTATTGCATATCTTTAAACATTAAACATATTTTGATACGTAGATAGATTACCTGTATGGAATAACTATGGGTGACTTTCACAGTTTTCATTATATAAGACACTACTTTTCACAGATCTTTACATATTCAAACTAAAGTTATTAATTGGTACATATAATCATACTATTTTTTGATACAGACAGATGTATATATACCATCTAGATAAAGTCATTTAACAAATCCAAACGTAAAATTTTGTATGGGTCTTTGAACCATGAAAATCTTATTGTCACTGTTGAATCTCATTAAAATTTATGTGATTGTCTTGGAAATAAACTATTTGTAGATTAAAACTAAACAATTACAATTAATCTTGATGAAAAGCATTATATGAAGATCTGTTTGCTTGAAGAAAGATTACTCTTCATTCACGAATGATATTTTATGGCATTTCTATAATATTCAAGTATAGAATGCCTCACTAATATCTAGAATGTAACTCATTAAAATCTTCTAATATTCAGAATTATTGGTTTAGAAGTGATGATATAAATATTTCATTCAGTGATACTTTATATCTATATCTACTATCACTTGCGAGTTCATCATTTTTTGTTTTACTGATTTCTGAATAATTTGAAACTCTATCGAATAAATGCATATGTCCATTCAAATATAAAGTCTGTTGATGATGTTCAACTAAAAATGCAAGTTTATCAACTTTGTCATCATCAATCTAGTCTCAAAGCAAAATGTAGATGCTAGAGATAAATAATTTTTCTTTTATAAGTCTAAGTTTATGAAATCACTTTGTTCTATTTTTTAGCAAACTATTTTCCATTAAGATTTTCTTCAATTTTTCAAGTTAAGCAATTTCAAAACTAAGAAAGCTTTCGAAAAAAAACTTTATTTACATTAGGAAAAGTTTTTAAATATTCTTTCATAACATAATAAATGTCAGCTCTAGAGAACCAGTTCTTGAATATTCGTTCGATTTTATAGTCTTTTTAATATTATGCTAAGCATATATAACCCATAGATAGATTTTCGTGATGTTAACTGCATATGAATCAATGACCATGTAGAAAAATGAAATGAATATAATGCAATTGAGACTAAAAGGAGAGTAAAAAAAATGTAATATTACGTTTCTTCAATAGTCCTTTGTTTACATATTCCATCGGCACATTTTTATTCATCGTACAGACACGAATGAAAGAAAAAAACAACGACAACAATAATAAAAATAATTTTGTGACTTTTTCTTTGTTGATTGATCTTTTCTGAATCGGTTGCATCTTCAAAAGAAACTTAAAAGAATCAATAATTCAGTCTTCCAGCCAACGCTTTTTTTTTTAAATCAAGAAAAACAGTCTTCATGCCTGCCATATTCCTACTGATTTTAGTTAGAAAAATACCAGCAACTCTTTTTATTATTTCTTGATTGTATACGAGCATGTATGACTCTGTTTTACAATCATACAAGCAGATATAGTTTTCAATTAAAACATGTTTTGTACTATGGTTTCAATTGATATACATTTATAATACACATAATTCTAGTGATACATGTTTGGATAGGAGAAGTTTTCCTGTTACCATTGTAGCATATGTTAAAATTGTGTGAATAAACACAAGTTGAATATTATTTCTTTATGAATCTTAGAAATTAATGAAAGAGGGACAATTATTGGAAAATAAGAAGACGAAATATCGTTTTATTATATTTTTTTTAGAATCAATATGAATAAAAAAATTACTTTAATTAGATGGTCAGTGATTTAGTATATTCGGCAACTAGATATCATTGTTTAACCTTTGTCTATATAGAAAGTAAAATGATGTTTATTCTTGTTTGATTCACATTATCAGCATGTCAGTCATATGCATAATGAGAAAAAAAACACACAGACGATGTTCTTGGTTTTCTTCGTTCTTCTCAGCAAGAGAAAAAAGTTTGGTTTTGAAAGAATCGAAAAAAATATATACAACGTACGAGAAAAGATATCAATAAAATGAAACTTATGTCACGCTTCACATGAAACGTAATTGCAAATGGTAAAAAATAATCATATCATAAATGACGTTGATGGGCTTTTTCCCTTTAATTAATTTTTTTTGACAAGCATACCTTTGATTGATACTAGGCATAGGTTGTTATTGAGTATCGACGAAAAAATAAAATATTAACATTTGACATCGTAGAAAAATCTAGAAAAAAAACAACATGCATCGAATATATAAATACGAAAGGTAAATTCTGTTCATACACATTATTCACCAATACATTGAAAATGAGTCGACAACGACGACAACGTATGACTGAAAACTATTTAGTCATATGGGTTGATGCGAATATCAATATGAAAAATGAAGATTGTCAATATACACTGTCACAATTACGAGGTATTGTTAATGAAGTCAAATTGTGCATTACAGCAGAAGAATGCATTGCATTGCTCAACGAAAACAAGGAGGAGACATCTTTCATTATCTCCTCTGGTAAACTTGGACAAGTTCTTGCACCATCTATTCATGGAATGAGGAATCTTAATACTATATATATTTTTTGTCGCAACAAGGAATATCATAAAGAATGGGCTAAGTATTGGACAAAAATTAAAGGCGTCCACAAAACAATCAGATCCATATGCGAAGCATTGCAAATAGCTGTCAAGCAATGCAATCAAAATAATACAGTGGTCAGTATAATTAGTGCTGATGCAGATGGTTCTAGCGAAAATCTCAATCAGCTAGAACCATCATTCATGTATACTCAAATATTCAAGGAAATACTCCTTGATACGAAACATGATCAACAAGCTATCAAAGCTTTGGTCGCCTTCTGCCAAGAGCAATACCAAGGCAATACTAACGAACTCAAGTTAATCGATGAATTTCGACGTACTTATCATCCAACATTGGCCTTATGGTGGTATACACGCCAATGTTTCACCTTTAAAATGCTCAATCGTGCATTACGAACACTCGACGGTGACCTAATCATTAGAATGGAATTTTATCTATGTGATGTTCATCGACAAATTGAACATTTACACAGAAAACAGGTCAGTCAGTATCATGGGGAGTCCTTTTTAGTTTATAGGGGCCAAGGCTTATCGCCAGACGATTTCGAAAAACTCGCAAAAAACAAAGGTGGTCTCATATCGTTTAATAATTTTTTATCCACCAGTACAGATCGTGATGTCTCCTTCGCTTTTGCCGAAAGCACCTTAGGAGCAACCGATATGATCGGTATTCTCTTTCAAATGACTATCGATCCCACGGTGTCATCAACACCCTTTGCCTCCATCAAAGAGGTTAGTGATTTCGTGCAAGAAGAGGAAATTCTCTTCTCGATGCACACTGTCTTTCGCATTGGTGAAGTCCAAAAAATTGATATAGAAAGTCCACTTTATGAAGTGGAACTTAAACTTACGTCTGATGATGACCAGCAACTTCGTCAATTAACCAGTCATATGCAAGAAGAATCTTCAGGTAGCACTGGATGGCATCGAATGGGTCAATTACTCCTCAAAATTGGTCAATTCAACAAGGCCGAAGAATTGTACATGGCACTACTAGAACAGGCATCCGACGACAGTGCTAGAGCACATATCTATCACCAGCTCGGATGGGTGGAACACGACCGAGGACAACACAAAGAAGCAGCTTCATTTTACGAAATATCTCTCGAAATCTATCGAAAAACTCTTCCGGAAGATCATCCTTCATTAGCTAATACCTACAACAGCATTGCTGTAGTGTATACCGACATGGGTGACTACTCGAAAGCACTTGAATTTCACGAAAAATCACATCAAATCTACGAAATAGCTCTGCCTCCGAATCATCTCAATTTGGCTACTTCCTACCACAACATCGGTGGAGTGTATAACAACATGGGTGACTACTCGAAAGCACTTGAATTTTACGAAAAATCACTTAAAATAAGAGAAAAAGCTCTACCTCCGAATCATCCC